CCTGACAAAAACGGGGACTAAAAATACCTAAAATAGACACTTGCATATGGTGCCATAATTATAATAAGTCTGAGTGTAATCCATGTCAACAACATTCATGCCAAATTTCAAAGCAATTTGACAAGCAGTTGTAGAAAAAATATAATATTCCCAAAAAATAGAAGTTTACAATGTGATGTCATGAAATGAACAAATCTGACAGAGGACTATCCCAGGTGGGTGTGGTATGAATGGCAAGGCAATCCAGCTGACGGTTTTGGAGAAGAAGTCATTTGAATGAAAATAAGCAGCCTGACGGCTGAGACAGCTCTGCTGTAATCAATGCATATTTCAATTCAAGAACTGAAGATATCATTAGAAAATGAACAATATGTATAGTATCAAAGCAATCAGACTTGTGGTTTTTTACAAGAAGTCGAAAATATCACTTTTTACCAAAAATGACAAAAATATTCACCAAAAATAGAGAATTTGAGATTTTGACATGAAATGAACAAATCTGAGAAAGAACCATCCAAGGTATTTGCATATTAATTTTGAAAACATTCTGACTTGCGGTTTCGAAGAAGAAGTTGAAATTGTAAAGTTGATGATGACGATGGACGGCGAAGGACAATTAGTAGTATGAACAGCTCCGCTGTGTCAACTTTGTCGAGTTCAGCTCGGTCATCTTGATGACAGCAGAGCTATAAAAACTTAGAAGTGACTGTCATTTAACTTAGTCGTTGTAGTACTCACCTATGTTTATAAATATGACATATTTAGGCAGATTACTTTGCAAAATTTAGAAATATGGTGATTTCGAAAGAAAGTTACTCTAGTTTCTAGACAGTTAAATGTTAAGTTATGTTCAGACTGCAGCCGACTACCATTTGGTATCCATGGTAACCACTACTTTATGACAGTGTTCTCACCTATCAAGTGCTCCTCTTAGGTGTTCATATGATACATCAAAATAATAATTAGTATGCTCAGCTCCAGTAAATGCATTGGAGAACCCACTGTGTTCATTTAAAAACTGTAAAAACAAATTATGTTATGAAAGTGAAAACTAGGTGGTGAAAATTGGTCAATTCTTTGTCTCCAATGACTGGTGCAGTATATACCAAGAACAAATACACCAAATGGTAGCACTAGTCCTTGTGAGTTATCAAGAAAATAGACCATTGCATGACAACATTTTAATGGTGGTAAAAAAAAAAAAATTGATCATTGATGTTCCAAATAATGACAAGAACAGTATATCAGGGATTTGGTTACCTATCATCATTTATACTACAGATACATGTATGTGATACAGCCCTCTCTATCACATTTAGTGTTAGTTGTGATGAGAGACTATATATATTCTCAGGAGCAGACATCCGGGCATTTCATCACCTCGTAAACATCATGATGAAAACAATGGCCAAAAACATTCAGAAAACTGTACTTTGGGATAGTTGTTAAGACTCCCTTGAACAGTGATATAGATTACAGTATAGTATTATAGTATATTTTATTTCAAACAAAATAATGCATTGAATTACATTATCTATGGTCAATAAACATACAACAAAAAACAATAAACATCAATAACAAATAAAACAATAAGTAAGCAAAGAAATATAAAAATATTAGTAGTAATCAAGAATAAAATTCGGATATTGTTAGACATTATAATTTGATGAACAAATTTTCCCGAGACTGTTAACAATGAAACAATCATTTGAGGTAAATAATATTTTAAGTAAGTTATCCTTAGATACCGAGGTAGTTCTTGAATTTTTTCATCATAAACCGAAACCATATTTAAAAATTCTATACGACTATTCTTAATTTCAATATTTTCACAGTCCATGAATGCATGAGTTTCACTGCCAACAGCCCCTAGATCACATAATGTACAAATTCTTTCTTCTGGAGGTATTCCTTGATATCTCAACTTTTCAATTGGAAGTGAATGAGCTGAAATTCTAAACATAGATAAGCTGGTTCGATGTTTTATATTTTTCATAAGACCCAGGTATGGCTCAAATTTGAATGCTAATTTTATTTTGTTGTATGTTCGTAATTTGTTATTTTCTGCTTTTTGTAGACTTTGCAACCAAATATCTTCTACATACAATTGTCTTAACTTTGTTTTAAAATTTGAAATATCAATCCCAGTTACACTAGTTTCAGTAATTTCAAGCAGTTTATTAA